CGCACACACACACACACACACACACACACACACACACACGCACACATACGCACGCATACGAACACGCACGCACACACGCGTGCACTAACCGTGCAGCACGCACACGCGCGCACACTAACCACGCAGCACGTACGAACGCACGCGCACGCGGTTGGCCACCATCATGGTTATTCAAACGGAGGTTCATCATCATGATTGCGAAACGACGGCGAAGATGAACGCCGGCCGCGGACAGCTGGCGCGCCAAATAGCCGCCAAGTGGTCGCCTAGCACACACTAATACTAGGAATATATAATGTGTATATATATATATACATATTATCAAGAGCTAATAGTGGCAGCAGCGACGATATTTGGTGGCGATGGCGATGGTGATTATAGTGATAGTGCTGTTGTTGTTGTTGTTGTTGTTGTTGTTGGTGGTGGTGGTGGTAGTGATTGTGGTGGTGGTAGTGGTTGTGGTGGTGGTGGTGGTGGTGGCGGTGATGGTGGCGGCGGCGTTAGCAGTAGCAGCAGCAGTAGCAGCAGCAGTACTACTACTAGTTGTAGTATTAGTAGCAATAGTTGCAGAAGCAGCAATAGCAGCAGTAAACAGTGCCGGAAGCAGTAGCAGCAGCAGCAGCAGCAGCAGCAGCAGCAACAACAGTAGCAGCAGGAACAGCAGCATCAACAACAATAACAGCAACAGCAGCAGAAACAACATGGATTTCTGCACACGACGCAGTGTAATCGTCACCTTGGACCAAAAGTAGCATCCCCCACCTCAATAACAGCGACAAAATAAAAGAGTCCATCAGCATATCCCGCCACCTCGCCTTTTAACGTACACTCGATTCATTAGTCAGTGCTGTGTGGAGCGATTGTATCACAATTACCCGCCATGCATGCATAAATATTGTGCGTGCGCGCGTGGCGACAGCTGGGCTTCCGCTATCCTTTGAGCTCACGCACGCACACGCTTAGCACGTCGCTCTCATTTGTGCGGTGATAGATGCAGCATCCGTTGTTGCGCGGCACCCTCTCTCCTCCTATCATTCCGGTGGTAATCGGCAAAGGTACTTAGCACCTGTGGCGCTCGCACCCGACTTACAATAAAACCTAAATGAGGTCAGTATAATGCTTCGCTTGCGCAGTCCCGTAGGGCTTGTATATGGACATCCACGGCATGATGACGACGATCGAGAGCCCGCTCTGCGAATGCAGATATGTATAGCCACGATATGACAACACTGATGCATCATCAACACTGATTATGCCCGTGTTAATAAAGGTGATATAAAGTAAAGGTCAATGTAATATAAGGTGAGGGGAAGAATCCAACCTCTGTGATGAACAATGGAGGCCGCGGTTTTTCGGCGCTTGAACTCACAAAAGGAAAAAATGTAAATATAGCATCGATATGAGGTCATACGTTGCCAACTTTTATTACATAAGACATACATATTCCTAGGCATCAATGTCATTCGGTAGAAGCTATATTGGACTGAACTAACTGTAGTTGTAACTAAGGCGCCATTTTTGATCTAATAGATTATTATTATTAAGGCATTGAGTTTATCAAACAGATTTCCATGCGAGATTATTAAGATTAATATACAAAATTCCCTGATTTTGCGAGGCCGTGTGATACTCTAAATAAGCCGATGTTAAAGATGCATTCCACGCAAAATTTAAAGTTATCCCACGCAAGTAAATAACTCACCACACTTTAACTGAAAAATATGTATCAAGCCTATATTCGCTCAACGAGAAAACAACAACTCGAAAATAGCGTTTCGCCGCGGTTCTGCATCATGGCGGCAAGAGTCGACGCAGGTCACGTAACCAGCACAGCCATAGCCTTCATGACCTTCAGCGATTGGCAACACCGCATGGCAACAAGAGACGCGTCACAACATCGCCGCAGAGCGCCAAAAGTAAACGCTGTTTGAAATATTCGACCCGACACTTTCACTTTGTAGTATAAAAGCTTCAAATGAACGTATTCCCGGACATTTTTGGACCTATCACACATATATAGGCAAGTACAAACGTGCAATGTTAAAATAATACATTTTAGCCTGATTTTATATTTTTCGCTTGAAATTTCGAGGGAAGGCACCTTTAATGTTTTTTTTGTAAAATAAATTTTCACTGGTTTACATGGTTTCAGAACAAACACTTCTTTTTTGAAAAGATTATGCATTCAGGTACTCCAAAATTGTTCTACGTTTATTAATAATTTTCTATAAGAGCCGCCGATCCCTTCAAGACAACATTGTTAACGCTTTAATCATCGCGTGTCAACAATTTTCACATTTTTTATATTTCTCATGACGTTTGTCATGTCAAAACAACCTTTCCTTGAAAGCTGTGTGCAACGCATATACGCGCCCTCAAACATTACATTTAATATCACAGTCTCACTCTACATTACAAATTCTAGCAAAACAAATTTCGTAAAATATCGTGGCGTCGTATATCGAGGAAACACTAAATTAGTGGAAAGAATACGAATAGAGTGCCTATCAAAGAATGTAGCAAAAGACAATCTTTAAACAGACACAGTACCTGAATACGCAAACACTACTGCAAAAGATTGTTCGCTTATGCATGCTAAGTACATACGACAAGTTTGCGATCACTCGAATTTCCATAGATTTTATTATCCTTTGAAGTTCTTACCTCGAGCTAGAGTCTCCATCTCGTACCATTCAGCGGTTATGCACTACTGTATCGACAAAGACATGCCCACTAATTACCTATTGGCTTTTTACGTATACGTTACGGTATTTGTTTGGCTCTCATATTTTGTTTATT